GTGTGCTTTGGTTTTTAAAATCTCTGTTGTAATGGCTCCTTCTGGGCTTCACCCCATTTGTTTGTCTTTTACACTGACCTTAAAAAGGGATAACTGGTCTAGTCCTAGCAACTCACCATATGATGATTTCAACCATTCACCTGGTGTACAAACTCTTCTCCATCTCTTGAACACATTGTTGTGTCCTGATGGTTTTAAATGTCTTTTTACTATTGATTCTAATTACAATTTTAATATACTTTTTATTTATTTTAAAATATTTCTATACAGTACAGTCCTTTTGAAGTATTTGTATTAGTTTCACTTAGTATTACTGTATTAGTTTTTAAATATTCTTTTTTAATGATGTAAACCACCTTAGGTCCTTTTAAGGAGAAAAATATTTTAAATAAATAAATAAAAATCTCACCCCCTTGCACCATATGGTCCCATTCTCCCAGAGCCATTGCAGCATTTGCTGATTAAATGGGTAGAGTATCCCTTGACGCCATCTGCCACACAGCAGTATGTTTATACATTTCCATTATTAACTTGATGTTCAAGCCAGACGAGATGGCTTCTTGGGATATTTTGATTTCTTCCCTGTACTCTAGTGGCAAGTCCCCTTCTTTCTGGTGAGCTAGCTGGAAAATCACCCATGGTGTGTGATCTGCAATGACTACAAGGAAGAACAAGTTGCTCATCAATATTTATGGTTCTTCATGTGATCATTTGTACATCCACACAACCCATCCTCCTCACCTATTTGTGTTACCCTTCTCACTTCTCTGTCTGGGGAGGAGAACTGGGAGCAAAAGACAGTATATATGGAGTTTGGTAATCTTAATGTGTTACAGTCTTTAAGCCAGAGGTGAGCAATTTCTGTGACCTTCCAGATGTTGGACTCCTGCTTCCACCAGCCCTGGCCAGCATAAGCAAGGGCTTGCTCAAAGGCTGTTTCCGGGCTCTGGAGCTTTCTGCCAAAGGAGCCTAGGCTATTTCTCTCCCTCCTGTCTGCTGGCAGGCAAAGGCCTTTTTATTCAAGCAAGCTTTTGACAGATTAGGATGTTGTGGGAAGGGCTTTTAATTTGGGTCACTGTTGGAGAGTTTATTTCTTTTTCATTTTCCCTTACTGATCTGTTTTCATATTTTGAAATTTTCCTATATTTTTATTACAGTGATCTTTGTTCATTGCTTTTATCAGATTTTGTTTTTTTGTTAACCGCTGTGAATCTTTTTTTTAAAGGGAGCTCGGGTATATATGAGTCAGTCAAAGGGAACGGCATGCAGCAACACCTATAGGGCATGAGCTGTCCAGCCCACTTTCAATTTTCTCTTCAGTTGATTAATGATAATTGTTCATAGTTTTAGTTAATGTTTCCATGATTAAAATTATTTTATAGTTTTGCAGCTTTAAAAAAATGTTTTTGTTGATTGTTGCTCTTGATCTTGGGAATAAAAGGCAAAGAAAATTCTAAAACAACATCCACCAGTTGTCGCAGTGTAGGAGGGAAAATATAGGAGATGTTAAAGAAATCGTAAAAGCAACTATATTGACTTGACATGTTCTCCCCAAACTGTGGTGTAATGCATCTTGTTTTAACGTGCCTTTACACTTCACAACATTCTTTCCAAAGTACCAGAAGTGTTTGTAACAAGCAAGAGCCAGGCAGTTCAGCAACTTTTCACAGTGACTTAATTTTGTGATGTTGGAGCATGTAACTCTGGGTATTTTTAAATGAAAAAAAAATATCCCAGAGCTTTTCTGTGGAATAATTAGATGAGCAGCCTAAAAATGTTTGATTCTTCATTTTTAGTTAAAAGCAAACAAATACTTCACACAGAATTGAGCCAACTTCTTTGTATGTATGCTTTCCGGAAGACCTGCATAAATATATGCATTTCAGCAGTTTTTTCTGGATGCAGTAGCTGTTGTGTGCTTGACGGAGCTGCTATACATATACTGTACAGGTTTCCCAGTTCATCTCAGCATGTTTCTTTTGCGTGCATTGATCCTCTGTCAAACGGAAAGAAATGGGTCTGTCAGTGCCTGCAGAAGTATTGTGAGTGTATGTCAGACCTCATGATGGCTTGGAATCCAATGATAGGAAGGTAAACATAGTAAACAAGTTATGTAGTTTACTTGGTAAGGATAACTAACTCTTACAGCTTTTGCCAGCTGATTGTTTGCTTTGACTGTAGGTCACTATGGAGGCTTTAAAAATGTAAACAAGTTCTTTTGCTCACATTAACAGCCTATTGTGGTGTGTGGTATCAAGTCAATTCTGAATTGTGGTGACTGTAAATAGGGTTTCCAAGGTGAAACATTTAAGGCCTGGTTTAATCAGTGCTTCCCCACCCCTGTGAGGTTTCATCACTGAGTGGGGGTTTGCATTTAAGTCTCCTGAGTCCTAGTCTGATACACTATCTACTAAATTGGCTCTCCATTTAAGAACTACATATGAAAAATGCAGTTCTTAGATAACTTGTCCCCCCATTTTACTGTCTGCTTCCTTTCTTTCCCAAGTTCTTTCATTTTGGAGTTGTTACTTTCCTCCCCACTTTCAACAGCCTGTTTTCAAAATCAAAACTGAATTGTGTTTTACTGGTTGCTTGTTGGGCTAGAGAAATAAATGAGAAAGACTACATTGCTGGGCAGACAAAGAATACATGTGCAAGTGTTTGCTGTTGAGGATTTATTGGAGACACCTTTACAATGACAACAGCTAGTGGGGTTATGTTGAAATTTCAGAGAGAGAAAAGCAGAGGTTTGCTCATTTGCTTGCCTATTGTGGAACTGTCCTGCACTTTATGTTGCTTTGCAACAGAGGGGCGACAGCTGAATAGAGGCCTTGTGCCATTTGTTGATTTTAAATCGAGCTGTTAATCCAGAGGAACCTGCTGGCCTACACAGCAGGAGAACTGTGTCACAAGCAGAAAGCTGGGAGGAGGAATAGGGAGGGCGTCACAGTGGATAATAATCATTCAGACATCAGCCTTTCTTCCCCTTAAGCCTAATTGTTGCCCTTTGCTGGTAACCAAATGGAAATGCTGGACTTTAAACATTATTATTGACACATACTCATCAGTTTCACTGGCATTTAAAAACACACATGACAATTCTTTTTAAAACGTTATTGAAATTGCATTTCACATATTTGGTGTACTGCTCAGAGTAACAGAAAGATTTGCTCCTGAAAGCACTAGAATGTTAGCTAATCTATCTGTATTCGCCCTTAGAACAGGAGCAAATGGTGAATTGTTTCTCTTAATCTGACTGAAAGAGAACGATATGAAGTTTAATGAGCTTTACACTCTCAGCCGTAAGCAATGCAATTTTTCTTATTTTGTAGATCCTACTTCTGTCTTACACGCATAGAAACCCTTGTGGTAACAATATGTGTAATACTCTCACTGGGTTAACTGGGGTATAACAGTACTTTATGGCAGTAGATGTATTGGATCAGATCCTTTTGGCAGTCCAGATAGTCTTTTTAAGGAAAGGCAGTGCAAGCAGAGTACACTTAAGGGGGTGGTATACAAAAATTATTTCCATGTACTTATAGGTTAAAATACTGCATATAAAAATAATTGTTCCCATTCAGTTGTTTATCAAATCTTCAAATGAATGGACAGACAGAAAGAAAAAACAAGAAAGCAATCTATCCTGTCGTTGCAGTAGATGGGAAAGGGGGACAACAACAGAAACACTTTTCTTGTCTTGAATTTTAAGGTGCGATACTTGTTCTCTGCAGCTGGAAACGGGTTCTTCAGCATTCTATGCCAGTTACACATGCTGAAATAAGTATACAAATTCTGCTGTACACCTTGGCTGTGTGTATAGGAATATGCATTAAAGATAACTAGGTTTGCAGGTAGGATTTGTAGTTAGCATATACCTGTAAATCATAAATGAGTGAAAAACTTGTTTCTCCTTATATTTCATTAGCCACTATTTATATTTTTGCTTTCCTATGCTGAAATATAAAAGGAAATTGGTGTAACTTAACATCTGAACTAGTGGGACAGTCTTTGCAGAAGAGATAACATTTCAGTTTGGTGTTTTGTTCAGCTTGATGCATGTGCTTGAAAACTGTTCTATAGAGTTTGTTGACTTCTTAATAATTCTGCCATCAGTTATGTACAGATAAATCTGATTGATTAAGTGGTATTTGTTCATGAATAATTTCATGTGAGATACTGACAGCTTGTTTAAATCAGCTTCCAATGCACTTTGCTTTTAAGTCTTAACTAAAATGAACGTGTAGTGTATAATAGAGTCTGCTGTAAAAGCAGCAAGTGTACACCGGGGCTTTAGATATAACAGAGTAGAGCCCTTGTTTACCGTTATCCACCCACCTCATCTGCCCATTCATATGTTCCACAGTATGTTCTTGTTGTTCCTGATCTTGAAGATGTGGAGTGAAGACGTGAACATTGAAAAGTGATGAGATAAGACTTCTTCCCACATTCTTCAGATCATATTAGTGTCCATTCATGGCTTGGGGGTGTGTTTTCACCTGGCTTTATTTGTTTGGCTTGCTGTCTACAGCAGTAAGGTCAGAAGTAGTGTCCTGCCTATATTCAAGTGAACTCATTAGAATATTGTCCTAGACCTCTCTACAACAAGGCTAAGGAATAAGGGGATATGGCATAGCATATTTGGACATTTTGAAGGCAGGGCTGGCATGTGTGGCTCCAGTCCCAAAACAAACATGTGTCATGATGAATATACAAACATGGGTAGAGTGATTTATTAGTTTTAATTTTAAAACAAGTAACATGCAACAAAACTCTTCTCAAATTACTATCACAAAAATCCACTTCTGAAAGGGGAATTCTCCTAGATCTCCAAGAGAAGTGAGGTAGGAGTGAACTATGTTGAGCTCTTCTGCAAAAGTTTTGCATGTGCATAGACTGAATCAATCTCTCACTGAATTATGATCTTTTTCTTTCTGCCTCTTAACTGTATCACATATGGCATGGCGTTATGCTGACAATTGAATATCTCTTTTATTCAGGAAATATCTCAGGAAGCCTATGGAACAAGGTCTCAACCCCCTATCGCCCAAGGCAAGCCTAATCATGAAGAACTGAACCTGATCCAACAAGAAAGACCGTCTAGTTTACCAGTAAGAAATTAATTGTCACCTGACAAAACTGTCATATTTTTGGTTGAAAAAGTATTCAATAGTGGAAGCAAGATTTCAGAATTATTGCTGCTTCAGTGTCAATTTTTTTTGAATTTAGAATGTCGTTTTAAAAAGCTTCAGTAATGTAGAGGTATGCTGCACAAGGCTGATGATGTCATCAGCTGCAGCTGTGTATTTGGTAATAAAAAGTTTCCTATGCTTCCCACAAAGTTTCTAAGTTCCTTCTAGGATCCATATCTTCCTGGGAAAACCTTTGGGGGGGTGTCATAAGATGGAGAGGGAGTCTTTAGTATCTGAAAATCATCACCCAAGATCCCAAGCAAGCTGCTACCAGACCTGAGGATCCTAGGAAAAGGGACTAATATTAGGAAATGTGTTATTACCAGAATGCACCCGTGGATGATGATATCATCAGGGTTGTGTATCATAGCTTCCATTACTGAATTTCAGACATTAAATAAGGTGTATTGATTGCGAGAATTCCTTCTTTCTGCATTATAATGGAATTATTTTTATCACACATTCTCTCATTTTATATATTACATGTCTGAAAATGTATTTAGTGAGTTAGTTATGTGAGAATAATATTTCTCTCCGTATTTAGAAGTATTTTACAATGAGTGTCAGATTATTCTCAAACATTTTTGCTTCCAAACTGTATAGAACATGATACGATTTTGAAGACTTTCTGAAGTACTTCTGAAAGATCAAGCTCATATATGTGTGGGCAGGAATCCCATAGAAGGAATGGGATTTGGAGGTGATCTTCAGTTCCAGGTTGCAGTGGTTCACAGTCCAAGCAGGGGAAGAATTTACCTCAAATTTTGAGGTGATGTAGCCCTACTCAAATTGTGGGCCACCTACGGTTACAATAAAGCATTACCAGTTCATAAATCCAGGACATATTTCATTATGGCAGATATACACCACTGTGCTTTCCTTGGTCCTGTTACAAGTGTCATAGGATACTATGATAATTTAAAGCAGTGGCACATTCCATATTCAGCTAGTACTGTTTGCTTGGTGGTGGAGACTGGAAAACGGAGGAAAACTTCTGTGTGATATTCTTGTCACATTATAATTACCTTATTAATTTAGTTGAGTGAATCTGCTGTTGATTGACATTATAGAAAACAGTTTTTGAATGATAATTGGATAATTCTTCCTATTTTGTGAATTACTGAGAAAAGAGTAATAATGTTGAACAGTGATGATGATGGAATCTTTAAAAGATGGTATGCTAATAATAGTAAACCTAAATTGTAACCAAAAGAGCACTTGACTTTGAGATACAGCTCTTGGTAAAACTTCATAGAAATTAATTGTTATCAAACTCCACAGAAATTACTTGGAAGTAAACACATATAGGAATGGGTTGTTTACTGTCAAAAACAACAAGTTCTACTGCACAGTGTAAATTTGTTTTTTACAAAGAGCATTTTTTTTAAAAATTGTGGTGGGTTTTGCTGAATCATGTAATTTCATTTTTGTTAAGAGTTATAAATCAGTCAGGCAGAATATTGTATCTTTATTAACCAGAGTTATATCGAAAATATGTATACATTATCAAAAAGAAGATTTTCTCCATATGAGGCTTTGGTTCAAAAAGCTTCTGATGTGTTTTGTATGTAAATTGAGGTTTAAAGAAAGAAACTAAATACAGTTCGCTAAGATTGACAGCTAGCTACTTGAGTATTTCAGATGTTGTTCCCATCATAGTTAAATATTTCAGATTAGTTAGTTAGTCACATATATGTGAACAGAGTTGTAGTAGATTTCTCAGATGATGCACCTATCTCTTTCACACTTTTATTTATAAAGAAGAGTGTGAGTTTATCCAACTAGTGAAAGAGTATATATTTTTAATTTCATGTCATGTTCTGGCACCATAAAACTCATCTTGTTTTTACTAACATTATTATTTCTGAATTATTGGCCAAAAACCTTTAGCATAAGTTATTCCTTTAGAATGGGTTAGTACAATATGCATTGTGAGTTTCAGAGTAGTTTTTAAACAGATAAAAATGCCACAATCCTTTTTTTTTTTTTTTTGAGTCCTGGAACAGAATCTGTACCCATGAGCAGGTTAAAACTGAAACTGGTGGTGGAATTTGTAACAAGATATTTCAACTAACATTTTTAACATTTAGGTTCAAAACTGGCAACAGAAGGAAGGTTAAAGTAGAAACCTAAAATCCATTTGAAATTATTTTTAACTGGTTAAAATACACGTAAAACCTATGTTCTAATGTCTTAACAGTGATATTACAGGTACTGTATAGGCAAAGGAAATGTGAAAGAAAATTCAGACATTTCTACAGAAAACGGGATCAGTTAACTTTTGCTTTGTTTTGTATCCATCTGAGTAGCCCAGTGTTTTCTGCCTGTGTATTGGTGTAGAAAAATACAGGCTTGAAGGGAAAAGCCTTTAGCATACATGGAAACACAAGTAGAGGAAATGGTTTATGAGTTCCATTGCTTCCTTACCACATCTGCCTGGGGTCTGTACTACACCAGGACACCCCAACCCTCATTTGGTAGTTTTCCAGGAGAAAGAGGGGAAAGCATAACAACAACAACAACAAACAACAAACAACAACAAACAACAACACACCATCAGGGATTAAAAAAACAGCAATATAAGGAGCAGTATACATACTGTACAGTGGACCCTCGACTCACAGAATTAATCCACATTGGAACTGTGGCCGCAGGTTGAAAATTCTGTAGGTCAAGGGTCCATTTCCCATAGGAATGCATTGAAAACCATTTAATCCATTCTAGCCAAAGGAAAAAAAATCCTGTGCTTCCAAAGCAGCACCAGCTGCCGTCTTTCTTCTGTCCCCACTGTCCTCTGCCTCCCATCCCCAAGGTGACAGGAGTCAGAGGGCACCGGGGACAGGAGACAAGAGGCCATTGGGTGCACCTTTCTAAGCCCCGAAAGTCGAAAGCTGACAGCGGGCACAGAGCGGCTTTCTGCTTCCTGACTTCCAAAGGAGCCCCCCCCCCAGCAAAGAAGCCTCCTGGGGCTTGCCCAGCACATAAAAAGGCAGGGGGAAAGCACCAGTTTTGAATTTCCCTCTCTCCCCCCTGCCTTTTTCCATGCTAGGCAAGCCTCGGGAAGCCTCTTAGACCCAGCGACAATCAGCTGAGAGGCGGGGAGAGGGGGGGGCAGGAGCTGAGACGGCCACAAAATAGCTGCCGCCTCCCTGCTGGTTGCAGACTCTCAGCTGTTTGGTGCACTTTTTTCGGCTGTTTTGGGGCTACAAAGGCACTGTGAGGAGTAGGCCTCAGTCTACTGTACCTGGTAAGTGACTTTTTGCTGACTTTTTTTCAATGCATTCCTATGGGAAAACGCACTTTGCAAAACGAAATGTTCACTAGATGACATTAAACACGGAATGGATTAATTTTATCTTGCGAGGCACCACTGTATTCATCTCATAGGTAAGCTCTCCACATAGTGGCCGGGTGGAAATGAAATCCCTAGTTCCACTCCCTCTGTTATTATTCTTGTCACAATCCATGTTTGAGGGTGTCCATCTACAAAGGAGAGAGTCTGTGGAAGTTCTCCTTGACATTTATTTATTTGTTTGTTTGTTTATTAAAATTTTACCCTGCCCATCTAGTGGCAAAGCCACTACTCTGGGCAGCTTAGAATCAAAACATCAACACAGAAGTAAATAAAAATCAATAATCAACCTAAGTTCAAACATCAAATGAAAACCTTCCCTAAACTATATATAATAAGGGGGGGACCCAGAATTGTTCTATCCTGATCTCCAGAAACCCTAGAATCCTGACTGCAAACATTTGCCTTCCACAAGTGATAGAAATGGTGAGGAAGCAGCGCTAGTATCCCCCCCCTCTGCTCCATCTTCACATGTAGCGTTTACCTGTGAGCATGCCTAAATAGGACTGTATACTGTATTATGTTCTCTACACAGTCACATAGCCCATTATAGAGCTTGCGCGACTATAGTAATCACAGGCAGCTGTTTGCTTAGGGGAAGAAGACACAGTTTCTGAGGATGTTTAGAATTGGATGCCTGACTGAGGAATTGAATTTTCAGGTGAAAAGCAGTTTACCTATTTTCCCAGGAAATGCAATAGAAATCTTGAATGAGTTTTAGATAGGTACACACTATGCTGCCCTCTATGCTTATGGTTATTTAGAAATATGAACTTTGCATAATCTCTATGAGTAGAGAGGAGGAGAGGCCTAAAGCAAGTGAACCAGCCAGTAGTACCAGCTGCTTACTGAAATTTCACCCTGTTGTACAAGCATTTCTCTCTAATCTTCAGCGGGCACTTTAATTTCTCTTCTCCTCAGAGAATTAAACTGTCTCGGTTATGTAAATGTAAGATACTGTCTTATAATGATCAACTAAATAAAAGTAGTAATACTATTAGAATATGTAATATTTTAATTGGATGCTTAACAACTTGACACACATTCAAATTTGTCTAGGTCAAACTGTCCACATAGCTGAAGAGCAAAAGGAAGGATAATTTCCTTTAATGTTTGACAGTCCATTATGGTTAGCTAATAAAAGTATGGTTTGTTTGTAGCCATTTGTTTCCAACCCACATTACAAATTCATCTGCTTTGAATTTAACAGGAACATTTGTGCCAGGATTTTTATATACAATGTGTGAAGGAAATGGAACAACTAGTGAATTGACTAACTGTGCTTGCTCACAACACAAACTTTTCAAAAGAGAGAAAGAAAGTTTTCAAGTGTGCTAGTGCTTCACACCTTTGAAATCTTTTCAGCGGTGCATCTTTTTACTAAATCAGTGGTGAACTGATCAACACATATATATGTTTATTAGGTATATTTATCAGTTGACTATTCAGACTGACTGTGTTTTTATGTAAGAAAAATGGTCAAGGCATACACTACGTAGTCAAAGTACTGTACAGCATTATCATTTTTTCAGAAGTATATTTTGACATTATTTTAAAATCAATATGC